CTCAGTGATCAGCCTCAGGGGGACCCAGCAGCGCAGCATTCACATGCCCCTGCTACCTAGAGGTATGTAGGAAAAAGCTGTGTCTATGTCTGAATCACCGAATCTTTCCGAATCTTTCCAAATCAATTTGGAGGGTTTCAATTTGATTCGGAGGGTGTCGCAGGGGGATGGCACAAAATATGGCCCCGAAGGGGAAAAGGGGTGCCCCGGGACCCGAAATAAGGTGGGGGAGAGAGAGAAGGGAAGAAAGAAAACAACGAGTTCCTTACCTGCAGCCAACGATGCGGGAATGTCAGAAGCAGCGGCGGGACCCACACGGCTGATTAGCCATGTCTTTTTAAAACTGCGGCCAGCTGCAATCAATAATGATCGGAGTCGGCGTGGGGCGATAAAGAACGCCCTGAGGGAAGAGGAGAAGGAGGGCAGCTGGAGACCAGCAGGGAGAGGAGAGGATCCCAAGGCCTCACCCAGAGGCAAGGGAGAAGCTAGCAGCCAGCCACCAGGCTAGAACTTGTTGCCGGACAGAAGGAAGGAGAATGCCTCAGGAGAGGCGGCGGATGACCGAGTGAGTGGCAGCCAAGCCGGGCAGAAGGATTGGGGAGCTAAACCAAATAGTTTGAACCTCCCTGAAGAGAAGGTAGCAGAAGAAGACCCAACAAACCAGGTGGGACCAGAACGGGTCAGGGGAGCATCCCAGAGTTCCTTCCCCCTCCCACAGGGACCCCGAGTACTAGCAGCGAGAGGGGCTGCAGAGTCCTGGATTCTGCCTGGCAGAAGAATCCGACAAGGGACTGAGAAAAGAGGAAGGCCCAAGGATCGGGGAGCGTCCCTGGGTGCCTATTAGGGAAACGCTGCACCCAGCTATTGGGGTACTGCAGAGGACACTACGGAAGGAGAGGATTTTCTCCAGGACGAGGGGTCCATATTTTGGGTTTTTTTAACCCGGGAGATACGGGTAGTATTTTTCTTTTGCGTGCTTAAGGGACCCACGGTTTGAGAGACGGGGGAGGCCCCCTAGAAGGGTCCCCTTTTCTGGCTGGAGTGAGAGGCAGGACAAGCCACACAGGCTCGCCACCAGCTACACCTGGGCATTGTGAGGCAAGGGTCGGCACCAGGATCACTAGCAACGCGGTGTGGCTGGGTCTTAGGGCGAGGTGTAGGGGAGGGCGGAGCCTTGCAGAAGACCATCGCCCCTGAGAGTCCCAACCCCGGATAAGTTGAAGTAGTTGGCCTCTCCACTGAAGGTTCCAGCAAAGTCGTGGCAGGCAAGATAGGGGCGGAGACTACCGTTAAGATCAATCCGGAATAGACAATTCCAGAGACGAAGCGGCCAGCAGGCCCATACGCCAGAGGCCAAGCAGCGCGAGACCTCATGTTCGAGGCCCGCCGGTTGCAGAGAGATTAAAGGGTCCTATGATTCGATTCAGATTTGGAGATTCCACCACCAAATCAGGCCAAATCTCCACCAAATTGAATCAGGAACTGAAGCTTCGCACAACCCAACTGTTTAGTTTCCCATTAACTGCTTGAAAACAAGTTCCTCTCAATCTCACCTTAACAATCAGTATGGAGTGATGATGGAGATTCTGAAAGTGAGGACATGCTCTGCAAACCTACATAAGAGATTTAGTTACCTAATTCCCATCAGAACTTACTGGGAACTGAGCACACAGACTTCCTAGTTTAATATATTAAAACAGAACAGTAAATATAAAAAAGACAACAAAGAATGAATAGGATGTGTCAATGAGCAAAAACAGCAAAAAAGAAAGTTTTGGAGGGTACAGTTGCAGACTGTGATGGCAATAGAGGAACCTGGGGCATCTTTACACATGCTCTGTGGTGGAGGGGAGGGGGGGCACTTTAATTAGAGAGGCTCCAAGAGCTGCTCTAATTAAAGTGTCCACAATATCAGGTGTATTCAGTGTCCTGTGCTTCAAAATGGCAATGGGGCACTTTAAGGTGTGGGGATGCCGAATACATGTGACCAAACAAACACATCACCAAGGGCACAAATACATGTACCAGACATGCTACTTAGTTAATCGGGCTAATTTATTAATCGAGTCTGCTGGATCATGTATTTGTGCCGTTGGTGATGTGTTTGGTTGGTCACACTTTGTTTTTTTTCATATGAGGTGATGTGGCTGGTCCCTAAGCTCCTGAACAGGCTATGTGAGATAGCCCTGTCTGCCTGTATCCCAGTATAGGCCATTCTGATCTGTGTGTGTCTCCTCAAACCTCACAGCACCCTTCAAAAGATCTCACATGACTCTCATTGAAAATCACTGCTCTAATGCTGTATTTGAGAAAAAAGCCAGATGATATACTTGTAGGACAGGATGATAGAATACTTTCAGTTCTAGGAATACCTAAGGAGGATGTTAACATAAGCTCCCTAAACTAGGCATTTTTAAAATAAACTGTTCTGGATAAGTAATAGTGTGCTGGCTGAGGAGCGTTACTGTTGATTTTCACTGAGTATTGGAAGGCAGGGGAAGTTTCAGAGAACAGAAAGCAAACTAAAGAGGATGACTAGGATAATTACAAGCCTGTCAACCTGACATTGAAATCAGGGACATGAGTAGAATGGCTGATAAGGGATGCAATTAAACGAAGGAATATAGCAAATGTCAATCACTATGGAAATTGGATCCGTGGAATATAAAGTTGCTATCTTTTTTGACTGGTTTACAAATTTAGCTGCTAAAGGTAACCAAAAAAATGTTGCTGTAAAGATTTCTGCACAGCATTTAGTCTGATAACACAAAAATGACATGAAAAATCAACATGGTACCCATTAGATGGAATAAAACTGGGTAAATGATTGTACCTGGTGCCAGAGGTAGGTCTAGTATCACCAGACTCAAAACCCTAAGCCCCCTACAGACCTGGGCTTATAGGTCAACAGCTTGGCTGTGGTATGTCCCCATGCTTCTGAGCCACACCCTGGTCTCACCCACCATGTCTTGGTTTTATTAAGTATGCAGAAGTTTCCTCACTGTAACAGGACTCGGTGTGGGGTTCTGTGGATGCCTCTTTGTGGGGCTCCTACCTCCCCTTCACCTCCTCCATGCACCAACCAGATGTTTAAGGCCTTGGAGTTGGTTTTAGGAAGAAAAAAAAAAGGAAAGAAAAATGCCCAAATGCTTGATGCTGGGGTTGGACCACAGGCATGGTCTCTCAGTCCGGGTTTTAATTTCCAGGATCCTGAACTCAAAACCACTGGTCTGGCTTACATCAATGCTTTGCTAAATGAATAATAGTCCTCCTTTGTACACACACACACACACACACACACAAAAAAAACAGAGAAAAAGAACTTTTGCCTTTGGATTACTGAACCTGGTCTTTCGGTCAACCTTATCAATTCTGCTGGCAATTCATTAACTTAGTCCCACCGGGCAGTTAGTGCTCCCTGCTGTTCAATCAATTAAATGGTAATGAAGTCAATTGCGCCCCTGCTGGCTGATTAATTCAAATATGGGCCCTGCGGACCCACTCCTCCAGGCATTCTTCCTTCATCAGCAATCCTTTAGTGGCTGCATGCCCCTTTTACCCACTGTGGCTGGATCCCCAGCCATCTCAGTTGCCACAGAGGGATTGCAGCTGTCTCTCCATGGCCCTGGGCACCAGGTGCTCGTTGCTTCTCTGAGTTTGCTTAGGCTGTTTCCCTTACTGGTGTTGGAAGCGTTAGCCAGGCACTTTGCCCCTGGAGCAACCCACAGTCCTCTCCTGCACTGGCTCCATGCTGTGCTGTCTCTCTCCCCTAACCAGCACGAGACATCTGGCTATACTGGCTGCTTTAGTGTGCCCGCCTATGTCCAGCAAGCACATGCTTCCAAAGCAGGGCTGCTGCCATGCCTGCTGCTCCTGCCACTCTGCTGCTGCTGCTATTCCTATGGGTATGTAGGAAATGGCTCCAGCCCTCATCAGGCCATGCTGCTTTTCCGCAGTGCTCAGGAATGGGTCTCTGGGGGGTCCCCTTCCCAGCTTCCTCAGGGAGCTGGTTCCCAGGCTCCAACATATCCCCCCATATAAGCCACTGTTTGCTGTACCTGAATCTCCACTGTCATGTTGTCATCCTTGTTTGGCTTGATCCTTCTATGACTGTATGTCTACCCTCTTTGATGTCTTCCCCATATCTTGACAGGAAGTCTGCCACTTTGTCATCATCCCCTGGTCTGTAATCAATGGTAAACTTAAAGGACTGTAACATAAACGCCCACTGCATTATATGCACATTATCCATCTTGGTTCTACAAAGCCATCTCAAGGGGGCATGGTCTGTTGGAAGGCAGAACTCTCTCCCCATTAGGTAATACTGGAAATATTTGATGCCCCATTTTATTGCCAGGCATTCCCCTTCAATGGTTGTGTACCTGGTCTTGGCTTTGTTAAGTTTTCTACTAGCAGAGGTGATGGGATGTTCCACGCCTCCATGCTCTTGTGTCAGGATGGCTCCTAGTGCAGCATTGGAGGCATCTGTCTGCAAGGTAAATGGCTTAACAAAATCAGGGGTATGTACTAACACATCGTGACGCAAGGCCTACTTTATGTTTGCAAAGGCTGTCCTCATTCTGGGACTCAGTTTTATATGGCCTGTCACATGTCCCCTTATAGCGTTTGACAATGGGGCCACCAAATCTGCGAACAAACCGGTGATGATAATTAGCTAGATCCAGCAAGGAACTTATTTCCTTTTTGGTTTTGAGCAGTGCAAAGTCTCATATGGACTGGACTTTGTCTGGCAAAGGCTTGATGGTTTCATCCCTTAGCAGGAATCCCAGGTACTTTGTCTCCATTCTTCCCACTACACATTTTCATGGATTGTCCATCATTCCAATTTCCCTCGGTTCCTTAAGCGCCGCCTCCAAAGCTCTTATGTGTTGATCCCAAATTCTGGTATACATGACAATATTGTCTATGTATGCTGATGCGTACTTCATATGTGGGGCCAAAACTCGGTTATTAATCTTTGAAAGGTGGTGGTGGCCCCATGCAGCCCAAAGGTCATGCTGTGAAATTCATAGAGATGCCATGGGGTCCCAAAAGCAGTTTTTGCTTGGTCTTTTGTGGCCATGGGAATTTGCCAGCACCTTCGAGACAGATCAAGCATCGTTATGTAGCAGGCCTGTTCTATTCTTTCTTAATATTATCCCTTGGTCACACATTTTCCAGAGTTCCTGCTCTATGAGGCCATACAAATGATAAGGGATGCATATCCACTGCTCTCACACCACTGTACCAGGTGGGATGTGGATCTGATGCTCCACTCCTTTGGCCTACCTCAGTTCCTCTCGGAACACATCACAGAAGGCGTGTATTATCTGGACTACATCTTGTCTCCCATCAGCTGTCAGATTGTCTTCAATTTTTACCTTTTCCTCCATGGGCATTTCCCCACTGCACATACATATTTCAGGACCAAATTCCAAGCTTTCTAGCTGTGTCTCAGTCAAACAACCCTCAGTTTCTCTCCAGGCTTTCAATAAGTTTACGTGGAAAATCTGCTGCTCCTGTCGATGCCCAGGCTAGAACACCTCAATCTACGGGCCCCATGCACCTCATTATTTTGAAGGGGCTTTGTCACTTTGTCACCAGTTTACTGGCCATGGTTGGCAATAGGACTAATACCCTATCTCTGACCAGGAATTTTCTGTCCTTAGTCATCCTGTCATAACTTCTCTTTTGCTTCTGCTGGGCCTCCCTCAGGTTTTTCAAGGCCACCTGCCTTGTGGCCAGAAAATGGGCCCTTAGATCATTACAATGGGCTTTGGCCCCCCGCAAACGCAAGCTGGGTTGTTCCCACCCTTCTTTAAGAAGTGTCAACAGTCCCTTGGGCTTGTGCCTGTAAACCAACTCAAATGGCAAAAACTTTGTGGATGCTTGTGGTACATGCCTCATGGCAAATAATGATGGGGTAATTAACAAGTCACACCTGCGAGGGTCCTTCTGCGTGCATGTATGAAGCATCCCTTGTAAGGTTCCATTTAACCTTTCTAACCAAACCATTTGTCTGGGGGTGGTAGACTGAGGCTCACAACTGTTGGATCCCTAAGACCTGGTAGGTGTTCTGCTACACCTTAGCTATAAAGTTAGTACCTTGATCTGTTACAACTTTTTTTGGGATCCCTACCTTCAATATCCACTTAAGTAACTCCTCCATAATGCGTGCCCATTGCTGCCTGCAAAAGGACTGCCTCAGGGTACTGGATAGCATAATCAATTACGACTAAGATATACTGGCACCTACCACTACTCTTGAGTAACAGCCCAACTATGTCCATTGCTATCCTTTCAAACGGGGTTTCTATCAGCGGCATGGGTTGTAGCAGTGTCCTGGGTGGCCTAGCATCCCTGACTAGTTGGCATTCTACATAGGCTGTGCACTGTTTACCTATTTCCTCATACAGCCCTGGTCAAAAAAACCCACCTCATAATATGTGCCTCTATCTTGTCCCTTCCCAGGTGATCTCCCATGGGAGTTGCATGGGCCACCCACACCAGTACCACCAGAAAAATCATGGGCAGCATTAACTGGGCCACTTCTTTTCCTTCCACCTTGGCCTCCTTTAATCGGATGAAGCAATTTCTCACCTCATAATGGTATTCCCTCTGGTGTAGCTCTGGTCTTATCTCTTCCCCCTCTATTCTGGCAACTTCTTCTTTGCAGATTCTCTGGAGTCCTTCTTCACCATTCTGTGCCTCCCAGATTTGGGGTGTGCTAGCTATTTCATCTAAGCTTACATCTTCCTCTGACCCTTCAGAGGGCCCAGCTTCTTCCTCCCTCAGCCACACCTCCTCCTGTAGGGGATCGCATTGCCCCCCAGTCTTCCATTTGACAAGCTCCAGCATCTCATATATTGGTGGCCAGTCTCGCCTGATAATCATGTCATAGGTGAAATGGGGGGCTACCTCACCCATCTTGCTCTGGAACCCAAGGACATTTACAGGAACAGAATGATGTTTATATAAGCGGGACTCCCCATCCATGCATGTCATCTTCACTGGTCGAGCAGCCCAAACTGTGTGATGGGTAAGCAAATGCGGCCAGATTAGGATTTGGGTACACCTGGTATCCAAGGCTGCCTTCAACAGTCTTCCATCAACCAAGGCAGCTACTTCCCCCATAATTACAGTCCATTGCCTCCACCTCTTCAGGTTCCTTGGTTCTGTCCTTGGAGCCTCTGGTAAAAGTGTTCTGTTTACATTTTTCATTACCAGCAAGTCTGCAATCATGGGCAATGTGTCCCTCTCGGCTACATTTATAACAGGTGACTTCTCCAGGTCCCCCCCTATTGGCTTCCCTTCTTCTCTCCTCACCTTTAACCCCAGAGCCCGGTGGGTGCTTAGCGAGCTGCTCTCTGGGATAGTCATTCTCTGATAAGGCAAAAGCTTCAGCTAGTCTCAGAGCTTTGTTGCAGTTATGCAAAAGATGTCTTCTCACCCACTCCTGGGTATTCTCCTCTAAATTGCTATGGAATTGTTCTATGAGAGTCTGATCTGCAAGTCCCTTCCAATCATACACCAATGGTTTAAGTCATTTATTCATTACGTCTCAATAGCTGTAGCAACACTGTAGGCCTTCTATCCTCTTTGCTTTTCTTGGCCCAGAACAGCCAACAGTAATGTGCTGGGGTTATCTCTAGGCAGTATAGTATGGTGGCCTTCACTTTCTCACAGTCCCCCTCCTCATCTCTCAGTAGTGTCTGAAAAACCATTTGGGCCTTGCCAATAACCAGGGCACTGAGCTGACTCGCCTAGTGCAATAATTCACACTGCCACTAAAGGATATGTTTATGAGAGAAACATGCCCCTTTTGTGGCCAGATCCCTAGTCATCTCAGTTGCCATGGAGGGATCAGAGCTGTCTTTCCATGGTCCTGGACACCAGGTGACACATGGTCTTCCAAGATTTCAGACTTCAAGCTGTTTCCCTTTGCCGGTGTTGGAGGGGTCAGCCAGGCACTTTGCCCCTGGAGCAACCCACACTCTGCTCCCATCCTGTGCTGGCTCCACGCTGCACCATCTCTCTGCCCTGGCTGGCACCAGATATCCAGCTATACTGGCTGCCTTGGTGCACCCACCTATGTGCAGCAAGCACATGCTGCTGCCGAGCTTGCTGTTCCTGCCGCTCCACTGCCATTGCCGCCATTCCTATGGGTACATAGGAAATGCCTCCAGCCCTAAACAGGCCAAGCTGCTTTTCCCTGGTGCTTGGGGATGGGTCCCCAGGGCTTTCTCTTCCTGGGTTCCTCAGGGAGCTGGGTCCCAGGCTCTCACAGTGATAAGCCTCAAAACCTCATGGGTAACCGTCGCACTGCAGGCATGTTTCTCCCAAAGTCCTGCAGAGTTTGGGTCTTGACAAACATCTATTATTGACCTGGAAGAAAACAAACTAACTCATTAGTGTTATAGTGTGCAGAAAACATGAAGATTGAAAGAGTGGTAAATAATGAAGAGAGCAGGGCATGGATATAGATTTGTCTGGATCATTTGGTAAGCTGGGTGCAAAACAGGCAATGTGGGAAGTAATGTGATTAAACATATCATCAGCATAGGAATCCTGCAACTTGGGTTCTAGCTCCAACACCAGCACAGTTGTGGGGGGAGAGGGATGGCAGCACACCAGAGGCATAGCTGGGCAGCCATGCCATGCCCAGGGCAGTATGAGGGGCTGCAGTGCCATTTGCAGCAGTGCAATCAGCCACTGCTGTGGTTGCAGCTATTTTTTTGCCCCCCAGAGGTGGTGCCCAGGGCTGCTGCCCCAGTCACCTGTGCGCTACTGCTGCCTCAGTCACATGGCAACAATGGTCACAAACTGGAAGGCCAGAAAACTAGAAGTCCTGAAGCCAAGGGTCAGGACAGGGGAAGCAGGCAGAGAAGGCAAGCACTGGTCAAAGATTTAGGCAAGTGTAAGGCAGAGAAAACAGGGAGTCAAGGATCATGAAACAGACCAGGGGCACTGAGGCTAGAAAAAGTAAAATCTGCCTTTTATCAAGCCCACAAAGTACTGCAATGGTGGCTACCCAGCCCAGGCACTTTAACCGGAGCTAGCTGAAGGCACTCAGGCTGCCTGTGGCCAGAGATCATCCAGGCTATCAGGGCCATCTGGGGCTTATCTGGCCAGCAGGTAAACAGAGTCCTAAAAACACTAGCCTCCTGCATGTCTATGGGCTGCCTGTGTCACTATACCCATCTCTAAAATGGGGATAATGTAAAACACTTTGAGATCTACTCATTCAAAAAATAGAAGAGCTAGGTATTACATGTTTTTAATATGGATAACTTCAAAGTAATAAATGTAGGACAGAAGGCAGGCTTTGGAATGGGGGAGTCCATACTGGGAAGCAGTGACCAAAAATCCTCATGCATGCTCACAGCAGTATGTCAGCTGTAATTTTAATGCTGGATGCTACTAGCAGTATCCACTAGGGAGATATTACATTCTGATACATTTCAGGTTATTCCTTCCTTTGTTTTTTTTTCCTTTTCCCTTGTAAGGAGAAAAGAATAAAGGGCTCACCATGACCTGTATGCAGTGTCTAATCAAGCTTCCAGTTCCCCCATTTAATGATCAACTTGTCCCTGGCAGCCAATTTCAAATATTGGCCATGGTGGTCCTTCTGTTTAAAGATCTATTAGTTTTAATTAAACAGTAGTGCTGCCTTGGGATCCACTTGCTTTAATATTTCTGAAGTGGTAAAATAATGAATACAATCCACACTGAAGAAGCCTTATTAGAGACAGATGGGCAGAATTTGTGGGTTGCAGGGTTACAGATGAAACTTGTAGCTCCTGCTTTAGTAAACACAATAATAAATCTGGGTTAGGTTTTACAGCTTGATCTAAAGAGTCCTGAATTCAAAGCGAGTGTCCCATTAGTTTCAGCTAGCTTTGGAATAGCTAATAATTCCCTACTACTGTTACTTGTATTACAGGAGGGCACAGTGGCTCCAACTAAGATCAGGACCCTGTTGTGCCAGAGACAACACCTGGGCAATTAAACAAAACAAGCAAAAGATAGGAAGGGAAACAGATACAGAAAGTTTTAATTTGTCTAAGGTTATTTGGCAGGGCCAGGACAAGAGCTCTGGTCTTCAGGGTCCCAGTCAAGCACCATGTGTGCTGCACCTTGCTATATCC